CTGCACTGTCACGATTCAACTCCCGCTGGAGGTGTTGATAAGACCTATGCGAGGTCGAAACTACAGTCAACCCTGGATGAGAACAACTTCTGGGAAAGCAAGGCTATGTGAAATTCAATGGAAACGTCAGCTCTTCTCATACCATTGTGGGAAAATTATACTACTAGTTCTTCATCAGCTTACCGAAATAGGGTAAATACATCTCATATTACTGATTTTCTGGTAGTCTCGAAACAAATGGGCAAATCCTTAAGCCCTGATTTTGGCCGAGACCTTAGAGAATAAATAAAGACATAGGCAACATGTCTACATATCTACTTAAAAAAGCGAAAATTTTTCTCATATATGTCCAAATAGTGTGAGAGAAGGGAGTGCTAGAAAAACAAATTTATGTTAAAATCATCAGAGGAAGAGCTTGCTATTACAATTGATCGACAATCAGAGTTACTCAATTAAAAATGAATTCATAAAAAGATTTGATTTTGGCGCAGAATTTTGCCATAACTTATACTTAATAAGTTATTATCGTGTAGGATATTTGTTCGTATCGAATTTATGAGGTCCCTTAAAAGTATGAGAAAAAGGTTAATGCGGAATCGGCAAGATTACAGCTAAACACTTGTATGGTAAAGTACACACTTGCAAATATTGACGCTATTATGTCCACTCAAGTTCAAAATCTTGACAACGCCTTGACAGCTGGAACTCAGATATTAGTGTAGCAGAAGTGAAGAACAAGCTTATGATAACACATAAACTAGACCTGAAAAGCTTTCCTTAGTTTGGCATAAAGTGAGTTTTGCTGGTTCCTTCGGCCAAAGATCCGTCTCAATGGAGGCCCAAAGCGGACGAATAGAAAGATTAGAGAAAGAAGTGCACTTTGATCATATACAAGGTCGTGTGGTTAAAGAGGGCTCATTGGACCCAGAGAGTGCCACTTTTCTGGCATTTAGGGCAACATGTTTCCGCAAAGGTATATGTAAGCAGAATTTTGTCACCCAGGGAATGGATGATTGATAATGTTAACAAAAGCTGATAAAAATTATATGCTCAAAGTGGCTAGCTTAAAAAATAGCCATTAGCTTTGTTATTATAGAATAAAACTGCAGGACAACAATCTGTGGCATCAAATTATAGAATACATAGAGTAAAATGCCTTCTCTGAGCGTTCTTGAACAATTCTGGTAAATAAAAATAAGAGGGACTATCACCTTTGACTACTGGTGTTCGAATGTTTATACCCGTGAACCCAAGCCAAAATTTTTTTTAAATGCAAAGATTACGGACCGTATGTGTTGAGTGCAAGCAAGTGCTTAGTCAAAGTGAAGTTAGAAAAAACAAAAATAAGGTTGTTAGAGGCATGTGCAACAAAAAGCAGTAGAATAAAACAATGAAACTAAACAAAAAAGATGCTAGTGAGAACAACAGTGGCTATCCGTATTTCAGTTAGCAAATAGAAAGTGTGATAGAGTTGGACCGATGAGAAAAGCCAAAACTTAGCAAGACTTCCTGAACTCAGTTGCGAACTGACCAAATGAGGGACCTTCAGCGAGAGTCTGAGCTCAGCAAGATTTTGGATCTGCAGCCGGGCATCCCTGGTTGGAATAAAGCATTCTGGGGGCAGTAGAAAAGAAGGGGGAAGGAGGGGAAGCACAGAGGAAGAAGAGGATGAAAGAGTGGGAGAGGGCGGTGGTGGTGGCGATGGTAGGCCTGATTTCAGCACAAAAGGGAATTTGAAAGAGGAGTCAGAACGAGAAGAAAAAGGATGGGGAGACAAGAGTGACATCATTTTAGAATGGGTCACGTGTAAATTATTGTCATTCAGCTCCGTAACTGCTTTCTGCAATGAAGGCGAGTTCAAAGAAGTGTCAACAAAACCATGGAATGGCAGTAAACTGGCTTCGAGTTCGGGTTCAAATATCTTCGACCCTTTTGCCTCATGTCGTGTTGGCTTCGGTGCTGCTGAAACAGAGTGCAATGACTGTGGCTGACATTGTTCAAGGGAGGGGCTAGCGTCAGCCCAACTGAGCCGGTGAGCATAAGATCGAGGGGCATTTAGGTTGCGCCAACTGACATCGTCACACCGTGGCGCTATCGCAGCTCGCTCATGGCTAACAAACGGCGAAGAAGGCAAAGAAGGAGTCAACGTTGTCGTAAATGGCAGCGAATGCAATGGGAATGCAAATGCAGGGGGCGCACTCTTGAGCGAAGTGTTGTCTGCCGATACCGAATAATTGAAGAGAGTAGGCTGTCTGGGAGTGGACCCAGGTTCACCTAAACCTCCGGGTTTGAAGGATGAGGCGAAAAAATAACAACTGCCATCCTCTTTCGCTCGAGTGCTCACAGAAGATGCGGCAAGAGGAGCACTCAAATGGGTAAGCTTCGAATCAAGGTCAGGGATGAAATCAATTTTGCTCGATTGGGGACCATTTGTGCCTAGAACTTCAGAAGATGGGGATGGACCATAGATCGAGTGCTTAGGTGAGCTTAGATAAGATGGCTTGGCCGAGTTTGGGCGAGCAACAATAGGAGAAGCCATGGCAGCAACATTAGAGGGGAAAATATTCTTGCTGATTTGTCTGTCGGCAGACAAGGGCAAGCGGAGCGGAGCAGGGGGCTGTGCTACTGGCCGGCGTAAGCAAAGTGGTAGTCCTTTATACGCTATCGTTCTGGGTCTTAGTGATAAATGATCTAGCTGCTTATGGGCGCCAATCAAATTGGATGTCTTGGTGACACTTACCCTAGACTCACAGCTTAAACTATGGTCACCAGCAGAGGATGGAAGAGGACGAGAAAGAGAAGGTATATGAGAAGAAATAAAAGGAGAGGAGGAAGGAGTGTGAGAAGTCATTGGAAGGGGATGCTCTCTTACCGGATTAAGGGCCCGGTCAGGTCTCTCAGGTGAGTCAAATAAACAGACATCAGAAAAGCGAAAAGGCAGTGGGGAAAAGATGGAAGAATAAGAAAAATACCATCGCCAGAACCATGCCAACCAGTTAGTTTGAGGAAAGGCCGGTAGGGGGGAAGGGGGTGCATCGGACGTAGGACCGGTGCTAGATGAGTGGAGAGATGGGCCAGTCAATCTATGAACAGAGGAGAGGTGATGTGGCAGGCTGGTCGGCAAACCGGCTTCGAAGCGAAGGCGTCTCTCGGGGGACGAGAAGGAAGAGAATCGTCGAGGCAGGAACTCATAAGACTGACTCAAATGCGCCAATGGTTTCTTGTAGAAAATATTATTTTGTTTGTGTGCACGAATGCGGATGTGAAGTAAATAAGCATCCATACAGGCGTTTTAGCCAGTTCAAAACAAGGTGAAATCGGGTTTTAGATTACTTGCATTTTCGAGAGAATGAGCAAGAAAAATTGAACATTTTAGAGCATGTTTCATCAGTGAAAAGAGTAGATAAGATAAGATAAGATAAGATAAGAAGAAACACATTGAATAGATAACTAACCGTCTGAGACACTGAAGAATGTCCCTTAGAGCCAAGGTTCTTCTAGTAAGCAGACTAGGTTTAAAATAAAGAGCGAGCTGCTCTTCGTGCTATGTTATGAGTTAGCCCTAGAAACACACTTATTTTGCCACCTCCCCAATGACTATTAACCTCAATATCACTTTGATGGATGAGAAGAATTGCTTTTGGAGCAGGTAATTATATAAAGTTGGAGTAAGTATAAACAAGAAATTTTGCTTCGCGCGTAATTTTAATGATAGGACGGGAATCACAAGCGAATGAGGTTGGAAAATTGTGGCAGAAATGCTTGATACAAAATCCTTCGGCATCCTTTAGAAGAGAGTGAAATTTATTTGATAGTCAGATAAATACGAGACAGCCGAAATGGTATGAAAGCTACTTTTGAGGCATTATCATGGAAAACTACATAAATTATACATGAAGACCAGGATGGTGTGGCCCCCGATATGGTCACAATCTCCTTTCGATTTAGAGGAGTGGGTTGACCTCGTTGCCGCAATTTGGTCTTGTTGTTAGGGGGACTTAGTAGAACGCACCTTGTCCGAAGTCATCTGCCATAGTAGTTATCATAATCCCCAGCATCAGACCGTGGACTTGGTACATTCTCAGACGTTTCGCCAGCATCGTAGTCGGCATCAACAGTGAGCGTTGCCATTCTCCACGCCAAGCTACGAACTCGTCTCTATGAGGTGTTAACGTGAGACTTTTACAGGAATGATGTCCATCATATGATGGACGAAAGCTCAGCCTGTTTTCACCAAAAACGAGGAGATCTCGTGGACTACGTCAACATGAACGCCGTATTAAAGCCAAACGGCTGCAGTACAACGGGATCCAACAATCCTCTTCTGGTGAGGTCGACCTACGAATCTCTTCTTCATGCACTTTCATACGAAATGAAAGTCCCCCCAATAATAGTATCTCAGGAGATTCATCGAAACCCTGTTTCTCTTCGTATTAACTTTCAATTCCCGTCCCCGTTTACGATATAACCGAGGATTTAGAGCAGACGAGGCCCATGCCTAGGCTCAGTAATCCTGATCTCCTTAGGCTTCAGACCCATGACCCAGTTATCCTCTTTCTCATCTCTACCTCCATTGCATCTCATTATTTTGGGCCCTTTGTCTGGTTTAATTAGGGAGAACTGGGGTGAAAATGCACCCTATCCTGTATCGACTCCTGAGTCGAATAAAGCACAGTCCTCGCGTCTCTCAAGTTGAAAGTACAATCTAACAGTAAGTTATAGACAGTTGCTCGAATGTAAGTTGGTTGGTAACCGCCCTAGTTAGATGTGTCAGCAGTCGCTTCTCATTAAGGCACACAAGCAAATAACGACGAGCATACTTTAGACCAACTTATATTCTGCAACA